AAAAAAAAAAAAAAAGTAGTCATAATTTTATAACGAGCATGACTTTTTCAGATGAGGGTTATGGGCCCACCGTATTTAGTAGGCCTCTTTTTCTGTTTTCCATCAAGTTATTATTATTGGGCTGTTAATTACTGGTGATTGACCAACTCCCTAAGCCTGTACTCAGCCCACCGGAAAGTTTATGTCAATCAGTTGACTCAGTTGCAAATAATTTTGTGCTTGTCTACCTCGTATTATTATGTAGCCCGTGCGATGAAACAATAACTATAAATTGCAATAGTCTGTGCGATTCACGAAATAATAATTATAAATTACACGTATCAAAATAATTAAACAATTCATATATATTATTATAAAAACATTTTTAAATATACATATTATTTTTTTGTTTTATTTTACGTTATACAATAATTTAATATATGAGTTATATATTTATTTCGCTCGTTATAAAATAGTTGTTTTATTTTAGAGTTCATGCTTATAATTAAGGATGCTAAAAATTTAACATATTCAAATATTATCAATAAATAATAAAACATTACATCTCTCTCTCTCTCTCTCTCTCTCTCTCTCTCTCTCTTCCTTTACTCATACATTATTATAATATATTATTTCAATTTCTAAATAAGTTATGTTAAAGCCGAAAAATTGTGATAAATATAATGTTAAGACTATAATAAACTACAATTTTATAAGTACATACAAGTAATTTGTATGCAAATATCATATGATATTTTACATTTATAATATATTATAAACTTATAAATAATAAAATTTATATATTAAATAGTCAAAAACTAAAAATAATATAAGAAAATAGAAATAATAATAGTAAATAAATAAATGTCATATTATTATTTGAATAGAATATTGTGGAAAATATAATTTCATATTGTCTTAAATAATTTTATAATATTTAAATAAAAAAATATGTTTGTATTGCACCCCGTGCATTGCACGGTTATCAACACTAGTTGGGTAGTAAGTACGTTTCTTGCCAATATGGGATTGAATTCTTTTTGTGAATACTAATCGTGGTTACATTTTTCCACTGAAACAATGTTAAACTTAAGGGTGGTTTAATTCGTGTAAGTTTTTATAAAACTTCTTTTATAATAGTATGATGAAAGGCAAACTTATAGACAAATTAACCATTGTATATAGTTATGACTTTATGTTGCGTGTCTTACCTTTCATAAACTACCACGCAGCCCGTGCGATTCATAGTTCAGAGATTTTAAATGAGTCAACTTCATAGGACATGTCCGTTTAAGTTTGAAAAAAATAATAAAATTAGATCATCTATTTTTCAATAAATTCCTTCTATGAGTTTTTCTAATTTGCAACATAAGGTTCGTAGTTTATTAGCATACTATGCCAATAAAAATATATTATATAAGAATTTCATTATGAAAAGAAATCAAGATAAAAAAAAAATGATAAAAAAAATTAATCATGTATGGTTGACATAATGTACAAATAAATCACATGTTGAAAATTAAAAAAATATTTTAAATATTTTAATTTTATTATCTGACTAATAGTAAAATTATTTAATGTATCTAGTCATTATTTCTTAAATGATAAATTATATTAATCTGAAGAAGATTTTGTTTTCTATGTCATACTTTTGTTTACATATATGACATTTTAGTTAAAAAGTATATTTTTCTACTGAAAAGACTACGAACTCCTAATCGTCTCATCTGAATGATACAGATCATTCAGATGTGATGCCCATTTTGCACTTTCTTTCTCCACACAACATGCATATGCATATCAATACACACACACACACACACATATATATATATATATATAGGGATTGGTTCCAATGCATCCACATTCTTAAAGTGAGGACGTGAGGCTCATTTCTAGTCACAAGATTTGGTACATAATGAGTGGCTAAGA